CACACACACACACACACACAAAATGAAAAACAACACTACATTGAGAAACGAACCTGATTTCCCGAGAGATGGACTCGATTTCACTGCGGAGACGCAGGACCTCATCCTGACTTTCGTGTCGTTCCTGTTTGAGCTGAGCAATGAGATCCGCGGCCTTGTGCAACATGGCTGCTTTGGAAACCTTCGCATTCGAAGCCTGCTGCAAGCTGGGTATCAATTGCTGCAGCGTGTCAAAGCCATTCTTGATGTTGCACCGACGTTTGTGTTCCGCATTTATGTGGTTCACTCTGCGGTGCTCCTGCCCAAACAATAAAAGAAAAGCAAGATCCAAGTTCAAATCAATGTTTGCGAATGGGTTGTTGAAAATATCAACCCCGGCTTTGTAAAACACGGAAGGGCTGTGGAGTTAGATTTCAAGTGAGATACAGTCTTGTGCGGTATGGAATGGGTATCAAGTATCACAACAACCAGCTGCTATCCCAGAAAAAAAGGGGGGCCGGGGATAGAGGAAACAAGCAGAGGATGCAATAAACAACAGTCCGGATATGGACAGGGCGCCAAAAGATCAGAAACCTTTCTCTGGCCTGGGGACCCAAACCCATGACTCACCCCAATCCCAAGCTTCTTGCTTCAGTTTTATCTTCACTTCTCCAACGAATAAAAATAAAATACTCTGTCAGCCCTGACAAACTGTTTTCCCGGCAGGAAATCTGACCCCAGAAAACGTCCTCCCATGGTTCGCTCCAAGAGGAAACGGAAGCAATAAATTGGCGGAACTCTTAAAAGAGACCATTAAAACCGTTTCGATTTCCTTTCTTGTTATTTGACGACAGTTAGCGCATCGTATTTCTCTTTTCCTGTAAATGTTCGACAATATTGTGAGGATAAGCAGGAGAAAAACGACCTTGAAATGCTCGCTTTTTACACTGTATCAGGATACTGATTCAATTTTTTACTTCAAGCGTTCACAGCCATCCAAAAGCTCAACGCTAAAATTGAGAATTTTTTTAATTTTCGTGCGCTAAAAGTGTCTGATCAATTCTGAAGAAAAACCTACCCGAATAAAATTGGCGACTTTTTTTCGTAATACATCCTTCACTCTTAACATAGAGTTGAGAGTTCCATTAACATGGAGTTATAAAAGGTCAAACGTTAAATTGGGTGAATAGGCGAAGATATTTTCTTAAAATTAGCTGCTTAAGAACCATTCAGTCCTGGAAGGTCAGTTATCATCATTAGACAGGTCATATAATTCTAAATTCAACAACTGAATGATGATGAAAGTCTGGGGCATCTAGAACCAAGGAGGAAAAGTCAGTAGCACATTCAATTACGGTTAATGCAATTCTTTTGTTTCTGCGGATTTGGGTGTAAAAAGCACGAAAATATGAGTTGTTGGGCGGGCGTGAAATTGTGCATGGGTGTGAAAAAGTCAGCGGTTGACCCAGGTTAATTCCAGCTCTATTCGTTTAGTTCCTTCCTCCGAATTCACGAAAAAGGGCCTAGAATACTTGGCTTTTCGTCTCCGACTTCCAGGAATTCGGAGAAAATTCCACTAATATGATATAAATGTGAATAGAAACAGTATTGGTGAAACAAAACAGCTTTAGGGACGGGCCGTTTTACTGTCGGCTTCCCAGGCAATCTGGTCCAGGGTTCATCGGCGCTCAACAGCTTCACAAAGTGA